CTAGAAAGCCTAAAAGAGTATCAAGGCATATGTATGTATTTTAATTTTCTAAAATCAAAAATGAGTAACATCTATTTGCCATAATTAACACCATTATGATAAATTTGAGGACACTGAAAACAAGTTTTTGCAATTTAACTTGCACACTTTCTAGAAATGCCAAATTATCGTCTCAAGCTTTTACTATGTTGATGACGTAAAGAATAAGATAGTATGGCCAATTGTCTCTGTAAGGTCTATAATCTGCCTCGTATACAAATCTGCTCTGGCATTGCCCTGGGGTCCAAGTAATTCAATGAGCTCTTAAAAGTCTTATAAAGTTAAGGAACAGTACATGTTTATTAAGCTGTATTTGTATAAATAATTGTAAAATTTGAGAATTAGCAATATCTAAAAAAGGAACAGTTTTAAGGAATTATAAACCATGAGCCATATACTGGCTGAGTATGTAAATTGAAAGCTTTGATTTTATTTTAGCATGTCAAACAGTGGCTACAGCACGTAATTCAATTATTTGTGCTGAAGCAGGGGGAAATTCAAGAAAATGAACATGTGGTCTAATTACATATACTGTCTTCTCAATAGATGAGGCATCTGTAAATACAGTAAGCATCTTTTCTATGGGCTGCATGCAAATTTATAAGGAATACAAAAGCATGCATAGAGAGGAAAACTGTAACAACTGGATTAATTATTATTACCAAATTTGCCTAAAAACTTTGTCATGTAATAAGCCTTATATCATTATTTTCTAATAACCAACTTAATTTCTATTTGGAATAAGGAATTAACATTTTATCCAAAATACTTTCAGGATTCTATCTTATAATCCTGTGTTAACACTGTAAGTTTCATAATAGGATGTTCAAACTTTACTTGTAGATGAAGAAGGATGAATCCACATTAATGGTTTCTATTGCCAAAGGGCTGTTGTGAGCACATGAGTGTCAATAACTCAAAACAGCCAACAAATGATCATAGTCTATATAATGTATCTGTTGATAACTAACAGCTTACTCTACTCTCAGCAAAGCTGTTCCTCCTTCATCAGTTAATTGTCAAGGGGAATTAGGACTTGTATCACCCTTGAGAATATCAAACAGAGGTTTAATTTCTCCTATGGTAAGCTTAAGATGAGGTTTTAACCAATTAATATCTCCTAACAACTTTTGAGAATCATTAAAAGTAAACCATTTTTTGTATGTACATCTGTAAGTCAGAAGAGGGCTCTAGATCCCACTACAAATGGTTGTGAGCCACCATGTGGTTGCTGGGAATTGAACTCTAATAGTTTTAATTGTAAGTCTAGCCTTTAACGGCTGAGCCATCTCTCTAGCCAATTATCTATTTTTACTGGAAGCTTTCTGTGCCACAATCTGTTTAAGATATAACTGAATTCTCAAATATTGAAAAGATATTGTCTTTGAATCTTTTTTAGAGTAACAAGCACTCCAAGATTTTAAAGCTCATTGTATTAGAGCCAAGGCTTGCAGAAACTCCTTTAGAGAGATCAGCCAATAAAATATACAATGAACAATATACATTGAGAGATGTAAACGATTAACTTTTTGTATTAAAGCAACAACAACTTTTTTAAGGCCATTAATCATTCTTTGAGGCAAGCTTTTTTTTTTTTTTTTTGGTTTTTTTTCGAGACAAGGTTTCTCTGTGTAGCCCTGGCTGTCCTGGAACTCTCTCTGTAGACCAGGCTAGCCTCAAACTCTCGAACTCAGAAATCCACCTGCCTCTGCCTCCCAAGTGCTGGGATTACAGGCGTGCGCCACCACCGCCCGGCAAGAGGCAAGCTTTTTTAATGAATCGCTTCATGGGCTCTCAAAAATCACAAGCAAATGCACTTAATGCAAACCTCTCGCCTTTACCAGGAGGTAAAGGAACTGTATAAAACAATCTTCTAAATCTATAATAATTTTATATGCATTTACTTGAATGGCAGCTGGAGTAGGCAAGTCAGGCTATATAGTGTCCCATTAGTTTTATAAATCTTAAGTTTGAACTTGTTTTGGATTAATTGAAAAACTAATTCCTTTTAGCTGAGTGAGAGTATCAGATGAAAGCCAATCTTGTCCTCTCTTACTCTAGAGCAATTCTTTTGTTAACAGGCACAGCTATAATGCCATGGAGGGAAGCAGGCACAATTTTAATTCCTCCAGCATAATCATTATCTCTAACTCCTGGCCCATAAGCTGTTGTGAATTTCTTTTGAGTCTGAGGTTGAACACCTCCCTATGGAACAAACAAGGCAATAAACAAATTCTAGAAAACACCCTTCTAGAGACAGGTCAGGACAAAAGGAATGTCTGAAATACAAGCTTCTGCTGCACCCACTCTGTACAAAGTCTTGATTCAACTGTAAATGTTTTTAATCTTGGCCAATATCCTGAGGCCTGGCCCAAAGATTATCCTTCCTGCACCAGTGACAAGTTTCTGTCAAGTAACCTTGGTCACCTGACTGTTGCTCAAGCCTCTGTTCCTGGGACAGTCATTTTAAAAAACTATCTAAATTTCCACATCTAAGACATCTTTTAACTTTACGGTTCTGTGCAAGCTATGGCCAGACCCTGATGCTATGAGGGCGCAATTTCATTGCAAAGACGAATGTATCTATGTAAGTCTGTCTTTGCTTGTATGGTCTGAGAGCTGTGTAGGCAGTTCAACCTGACTAGCATTACCTTCACACTGGCCTTCTCCTAGAAGCATGTTAAGATCACAATCTACATGCCTGCCTGAGCATTCATCATGGCGCTATGATTTTTACTAGTATCACTCCAATTTGAGCTCCAAATCAAGTAATCTCCTCCTGACAAAATAGCCAACTCTGCTCTATCCTCTTCTCAACCATAAACATGGGTGAGTCAAAGAATTCTAAACTCACAATTGAACTGCCAACTGTAGCCAATGGAATACTGGCAGTTTAACTATAATTTTAAGTTTCTTTTGCAACATTATAGAGTATAACCATAATTTTGAGAAGCAAAACCAAAAGCAAAAACAATGTAAACAATCTATTTTCTCTAAAATCAACACCAAGTAGATTACCTTTATGTTACAAAGTTTTGTTGTCAATTCTTATATGAATGCATGATACTGTAGCTTTTAATATCTCATTAAAGAAACATTGTTTTAAATCTTTTATACATCTGATTTCTGAATGACTCCAACCCTGAGTTACCATTTTAAACTAACTTTCTGTCACCAAAGTTGTAAGTTTTTAATCAAACCCAAAACTTATAAGCCAATAATCGATAACCAAGACATGTAGAACATATTTATACTTTTAAAACCAATTAGAAACAAAATGAAATGGCTACACATCTTATATATTTAGATCAAACAAAATTTGTTGCCTTTTCTAGCTGTAATTTCAAGAGAAAAGCACCTTGTCACAGAGATTTTTCTAGGACAAAACAACTCTTAGCTTCCTTATAGAATCCAAAAGCTACTGGTCTCTTTTAAAAGCAGCTTATGCCAACAATCAATTCCTGGAAAGGCTTTTTCAGCTCAGCTCAACTCTTAGCTACAGGTGTAGGGTAGCTTATCAGCCTCTGCTGTGTATATTAAGACTGCCTTTAAAACAAAGTTAAACTAGACCAAGAGGTGGATACATAGCAGCTTTAACCGTTTTCTTGTCTTTTGAACATGCAACATAGAACATACATTTAGACAACGAAACAAAAAACAATTGACACACGTGGACATTGGCGCGCCAACAAACAAAGACATCTAGGAGTCAAAGAGAAACTCAGGACGTCTTCTATGTCTTCTGACTTTCCTCCTGTTCCTAGGAGAGCTCTGAAACAGCCTTTCCATTCTTTTTTGCTGACACAGCTCAGAGAGAGGACAACTGCTTTTCTGGAACCTTTTCTTTCTCTCTCATATTCAAGATCTAACTTTTCATCTCGTTCTTCAGGAGATGTAGCAGGCAGCTATTGTCACACCTAAGTGCCCTGCTTTCTAGTTTTTCAATTCCTTCTAACCCTGCTCTTCTCACCTGAAGCAGCTTTTAGGCTGCAGCAAATGCCTGATTGAAATTCTCCTGTCCTGAATTGCTGTCACCTCCTAGGCGAAATAGGCATCGGGTCAACACCTGATCGACCTAGATATACTGTACCCCTCTAAACACACTTCCTGCAAACACGGCCTCTAAAAATTAGTTACCACTAGTGCTAGTATCAATGTCGTTTGCTCCTTACCAAGTGTGCGGGATACTCTCCTTTTTCCATGAGGCCTCACCAAGACAGCTTTCATCAGTTGCTCCCTCTTTTTCCTGGTTCCACAATCGGGTGCCACCTGTAGCTGCCTGCGGCCACGAGTCGAACGGGTTCACCTGGAAAGAGGGCTGGGAACGAAAAGGGGACGGAGAGAGAGAAAAGATGAAGCTAAGACAAAGTTCTCTGATCAAGGCTCGATGGTTTAATGTTAAGCTTTCAATTTAAAGGGAAAGACTCCGCCCAAACCCTTCCTAGTTTCAGCCGGCAGAGTTGGGTGGGATAATCCGTTCTTGGTCATGGGTCACAGCCGGAGATGTCTCAAGGCAAGCCCAGGGGCAGTTCTTCTTTCAAGTTCCTATAGCAGAATTTAGGTGCAGCCAAGGTGGGTGACTCCACCTAGGTGTCTATTGACATGCAGCCAAGGTGGCTAGTTCCACCTAAGTCCCATTATTTGGTCTATTGTGGTAAATAAGGTCTTGGGCCTGCTCACAGCTGGGAGAAGGGCACAGAGGACTGGCTGAGAAGCTTCCAAAGAGCTATCTCAAGTCTGGAAGGAGCCGCACCAGGAAAAGATATTATTTGCCTCTTAGGAAGCCTCTCCCCCCACACCCAACAACCTGTTGTTATAACCTTTCAGATCAAAGCACTGCCCAAGGGCCAGAAGTTCCCCAGGGTCCTGATGACTACGAAGGGTTTGGCTCCAGGGTAGGACGGCTCTTACATATTCTGGAAGCTGCATCGAAGGACAGTGTCAGACCGGCACGGGAGAGCATGGCTTCCTCAAAGGACCCCAGGAACTGGAGAGCCAGCTTTAAGAATTCTAGTGTGGAGACGAGCTCTGGTAAGATGGGGGAGTGGCATCTCCATGCTGAGGAAAAGACCAGCTGAGGGGCAGTGAGCCGGTAGGGGGCTGATGGCTGAGTTTATGGCTGCTGCCAGTGGCTTCCCATAGTCAGTGTATTAACCAGCAAACCAGAGCATAGAGTCCTCTGAGCTGCGGAAAAATTAAGACCAGGTAAGGAAGCGATATGGGATATCATTTGCATAACTAGATAACTAGATATGGGATATCATTTGCTTTTTGTTGTTGTTTAAATTAATGCAGTGTGTGTGTGTTGGGGAGTGTTTTGTGTACTATGGCGGCACACACCATTAGACCCAGGACCCAGGAGACAGAGGGAGGTAGATTTCTGTGCTTGTGTCCAGCCTGGTCTACAGATTGAGTTCCAGAACAGCCAGGGCTACACAGAGAAACTCTAGGCAGTGGTGGGGTGAGGTGGGGGTGCACGTGACACATGGCTGTGGTGGCTTCTCTTCTTCTTTTCTTCTTCCTCTTCCTCCTCTTCTTCTTTTGGTTTTTTGAGACAGGGTCTCCTTGAGTAGCCCTAACTGTCCTGGAACATGCTCTGTAGACCAGGGTTGGCCTTGAACTCAGAGATCCACCTGCCTCTCTACCTCCCCCCCCCAACACACACACCACCCCCAGTGCTGGGATTAAAGGTGCCACTTGTGTTTAGTTTAGCCTGGTCTCAAAACGGTATTCTTCCCGACTCGTCTTCCCAACTGGGATTACAAACCCACACCTGACAGATCTGAAGCCCCATCATGCTTTGGCCAAACATGATGGCACACATTTGTAACCCCAGAACTGGGGAGGAAGAGGCAAGAGGATCGCCAGGAGTTCAAAGTCAGTCTGTCTAGTCTATGGAGTGTGCTCTAAGAGAGCCAGGCTACACAGGAGAGCCTGTCTCCCCAGCAAATGAGTAATACACAAATACAAACCACAGGCTTTAGATGTAGACAGTGCTGCTCTGAGTGTTTCTTCATGAATAAATTCATTTAACTTCATTTTTGTGTGCTTCTGCCCTGTGCTGAGCTCAGAGCTGCGAGCAGCATGGAAGAACAGTTAAAGCAGGGATTCCCAGGCAGACTACCTCGGGATGTCAGTATATTTATTGTAGGCGGTGGTGAGGATTCTGTGGGGCTCCCAAAAGGCCACCAGCACCCACGCTAACTGAACCTCGTTTTCCTCCTCTGTCTAAGTTCCTCCAGCTTCCCTCTTGGATCTAGACCTTGTTTATTTATGGTATGGTCCACAAGCCTGCATGACAGAACATTAGACTAGACCAGTTGTGTGTGTGTATGTGTGTGTGCACATGTATGGGCTAGCGTAGCATCTAACTCAATCATTTCTACTTAACTTTTTTTTTCTTTGAGACAGGATTTCTCCATATAGCCCTGGCTGTCCTGGAACTCACTCTGTAGACCAGGCTGGCCTCGAACTCAGAACTCTGCCTGCCTCTGCCTCCCGAGTGCTGAGATTAAATGTGTGTGCCATCACTACCTAGCACTACTTTTTAAAATTAAAAACACTTTAGCTTTATTCATTTTATTTTATATAGATATATTTTACCTACATCTATGTATATGTACCATGTACATGCCTGGTGTCTATGTATTTCCTGGAAACAATGTTAAGATGGTTATGAACCACCATGTGGGTGCTGGGAACTGAACCCAGGACCTCCATCTCTCCACCCCCTCTCCACCATATTCTTTTTTTCCTCCAAGACAGGCATTTCTCTGTGTAGCCTGGCTGTCTTGGAACTCATAGATTAGGCTGGCCTTGAACTCACAGAGATTTGCCTGCAAAGGTGTGTGCCACCACCACCCAGCACCATGATACTTTTTTTGGGTAAATTAATTAATTTATTTTATGTATATAAGTACACTGTAGCTGTCTTTATGTCTTCAGACTCACCAGAAGACTGCATCAGATCCCATTACAGATGGTTGTAGGCCATGTGGCTGCTGGGAATTGAACTCACAATCTTTGGAAGAGCAGTCAGTGCTCTTAACCACTGAGCCATCTCCCCACCCCCAGCCCTGACTATAATGTAAGCATACTCCCTGGACAGTTTATAAGCTAGATAAAGCCCAGACACACCCATAGGCTAAGTGTCAGCTCCCTGGGAGTGGAAGAGAAGGTTTAAACTTGGAGCCGGGCGATGGTGGTGCACGCCTTTAATCCCAGCACTTGGGAGGCAGAGGCAGGAGGATTTCTGAGTTTGAGGCCAGCCTGGTCTACAGAGTGAGTTCCAGGACAGCCAGGGCTACACAGAGAAACCCTGTCTCGAAAAACCAAACCAAAAGCAAAACAAAACAAATCAAAAAAACTTGGAGCTAACCAGTGGGTAAGGGCACTTGCTACAAAGTCTGAGGACCTGAGTTCAATCCCCTAAGACCCACAGGAAGGAAGGAGAGAACAGACTTCAGGAGTTGTCCTCTGACATTCACATGTGTGCTCCCATACACGCTTAGCTGGTCGTGCTAACCCAACTTCGGGCCCTTTCCTTTCAGGTATGCAGCCAGCCTGTGCTCACAAGGCCGTCCCAACAGCACATGTCACTTTTGTTATTGACTGTGCGACTGGGAAACAAGTCTCCCTGGCAACACCCACGGTGCCACCCCAAGCATCAAGAACCAGCCAGGGATGTGCCGCCCCGCCCATGAAGACATTTGTTATGTTCTGTGGAAAAAACACGCTGCCTGGGACTCAGGACGTTTCTCTCAATCGCAGACCCCTTGATAGAGCCGAGGATACCTTGCCACCCTACAGAGGACTCGGGGCTCCAGATCCCCTCCCTGCCAGCAGCCTACCCGGTTCGCCGAGTGATCCCAGAGTCAAGGGGAGCTCCGTGAAGGCTGCAGCTACTGAAAAGCATTCAACTCGGGAGAAGATCAAGCACTCACTGAAGGCCCTGTCCTGTATCTGCGGGAAGGGAGAATAGTTTGATAGGATCTGTCTGGGGTGGGGGCAGGGGGGTGGGGGGAAGAGGGGGCTGAGAATGTGGGAGTCTTTGGAGCCTGAAGCCAAGAAGACGCACTAGATGCACCGAGGGACATAAGAGCCTCTGTCCTCTTCCTCCTCCTTTGCCAAGTTCTCAGGCATGATACCAACCAAGCACCTTGTCCTGGGCCCTACTGCTGCCAACGCCACCCCCGACCCCCGACCCCCCCCCCTGCTGTCGCCATCATGGTTTTCTTGAGGCTTGGAAGGGGAGAAGGGTTGAACAGGCGACCAAATAAATAAAAACGATGATTTTGAGCGGTTGTAAGTGAAGTGAGTTGGCCTTTCTCTCCCATTCCCTCCACCTTGCTATAAACCTAGACTCCATCCCTAAAGCTAGCACCCTTATTTGGCCACTTCCTCCTCTTGAGGCTGACTACCGAGGTCCAGGTATCAAAATATTGAAGTCCAGGAATCAAAAGCCCCTTTTGACTCACCTAATTAACACGCCCAATTAAAACTAAACACCTCATCCTAACATGGGGTTTCCCCGTGTACCTTTATAAACCTCCATTTTCCTAAGTGCCTCAATGGTCTCCTCTCTATCCAGAGGCAGACCTTTGTCCCCAGTGGGTGGACGTGGGAGACAAAGGCAAATGACCCTCCTCCCTCTCCCTCATCTTCTGTCACCTGTCTTTGTCTCTTAGTCTCTAACCTCAGTCCCTTTGGGGCAAATAAATCTCCCTTGTGCTGAGAACTTGGTCTTTCAGGTCCAATGGTAACACAATATGATCTGAAAAACAGAAAGAGCCAGCTCTGGGGAACTTTCTCCTTCTCGTGGAATCTTCTCTTACCTCCCCCCCCAGCTCCCCTCCCCCCAGATATTCCAGAGCAAGCCAGTGAGGGCTTGGGGGTGTCCCTAGTGTGATAGTTTGGGCCAGCATATTAGTTGCTGTCACCTTGGCTCAGGTGGGCTCCTGGAGGTGACTGGAAGGATATGGGTAAGAAGAGGGAAGTACTAGGCTCAGCTAGACTCCGTCCTCAAAGGAGGGAGAGTGAGCTTGGGGGTAGCTCGGTTGTTAGACTGCTTGGTACATAAGGAAGCACTGAGTTTAGTCACCAGTACCAAAGAAGCTGGCATACACCTATAATATCAGCACTCGGGAGATGGGGCAGAATCATAGTCAGGTACATAGTGAATCTGAGCTGGGCTAACACAAGAGTCTGTTATGCAGAAAGGCAGTGCAGCATCGTGCTGGGCATGGTGATATATGCCTATCATCCCAGCATTTGAAGGCAGAAGCAGGACCACCAGGTTCAAAGTCATCCTGGGCTACATAGGGACCTCTCAGTCAGCAAGGTTGACCCTGTTTTAAGAAAGGATGAAGCCGGGTGGTGGTGGCGCACACCTTTAATCCCAGCACTTGGGAGGCAGAGGCAGGCACATTTCTGAGTTCGAGGCCAGCCTGGTCTACAGAGTGAGTTCCAGGACAGCCAGGGCTACACAGAGAAACCCTGTCTCGAAAAACAAACAAACAAACAAAAAAGAAAGGATGAAGAAGGAAAGGTGGCCTCGGCATGCAGTTCCGTTAGTGGAGAGCTTGCATGGCCATACTCGAAACCCCAGCACTCTGGAGGAAAATATAAGAGGGTCAGAAATACAAGGTCATCCTTGGCTACCTAGGAAGTTTGTGCTTAGCGTGGGGTATCTCAAATAAGAAGCGGAGGGAAAGAAAGGCATAGGTGGAGGTGGTGAGGACAGCAGGCTAACACTGCCCCCTAGGGGTACAGGACAAAACGAGCTTGTTCTCCTCCTAAGCAACCTGGAGACAGGTGGAATAGAAGGAATCAAAACTACTATAGTGTTTACTAGTTTGTTTTAGGACCATACTATTTATTTATTTAGAGTGTTTATGGGGGATAGGATAGTTCTACTTAGCCCTGGCTGGCCCACATTCATGACATAAGCCAGACTGGTCTTTTTCTTGGACGATTCTGTCGCCACCTCCTGAGCGCTAGGACTATTCCGCATGTCGGCACGCTCGGCTAGGACTTTTTTGTTGGTTTTGTTTTGTTTTTTTGGAGTCAGGGTTTCTCTGTGTCCTGGAACTTACTCTGTAGACCAGGCTGGCCTTTAACTCCCAGAGAGCCACCTGCCTCTGCCTCTCAAGTACTGGAATTAGAGTGCATATGGCAGAGAATTGTATATACTGAGTGTTTACTGTACTGGAGGGAAATGACAGTATTCATATCCCCAGGATGAGGAAACTTTTTTTTAAGTTTTTCAAGACAGGGTTTCTCTGTTGTCCTGGTTGCCCTGGAACTTGATCTGTAGACCAAGCTGGGTGTTTTGTTTTGTTTTTTTGTTTTTTGTTTTTTGTTTTTCGAGACAGGGTTTCTCTGTGTAGCCCTGGCTGTCCTGGAACTCACTCTGTAGACCAGGCTGGCCTCGAACTCAGAAATCCACCTGCACCTGCCTCTGCCTCTGCCTCTGCCTCTCCCTCTGCCTCTGCCTCTGCCTCTGCCTCTGCCTCTGCCTCTGCCTCTGCCTCCCAAGTGCTGGGATTAAAGGCGTGGGCCACCACTGCCCGGCCCAAGCTGGTTTTGAACTCAGAGATCCACTTGCCTCTGCCTCCCAAGTGCTGGGAAGTTCTATCAACAGAGCCCAGATGCCTACTGTGACCTACCAGGCTTGGTGTGATCAGGCTCCTCCACCTCTCTGTTCTCTTCATTATCTGAGCACTTATTGCCTGCTTCCCCAACTAGAAGGTAATCTCACGTCAGACTGTGTGAGACCTCAAGGGTCTTTCTTAGCTTCCTATGGCTTTCATTCTCTACTCTGTGAAATGGGTACACAGTATGCTTCCACTGGGGGCTGCATACAGCCTGGTGGTAGAATACTTACCTAGTATACTAAAGACCAACGTGTGTGTACGTGCACAAGCGCACAGACACATACACCAACACACACACATCATCATCATTTAAAGAATGTCTCTTACTGGCACTCACCTTTAATCCCAGCACTTGGGAGTCAGAGACAGGCGGATCTGTGGGTTTGAAGACAGCCTGGTCTACAGGGTGAGTTCCAGGACAGTGAGAGCTACACAGAGAAATCCTATCTCAAAAAAAAAAAAAAAAAAACTGAAAAAAGACTATAGAATACTGGCCCTCTTGACTACAGAACAGGCACAGGAGGGAGGAAGCCGAGGGGCTGGCTGTTAGCTCAGGACAAGGAAAGATACTTTGGAGTGACAGTGTAATATAAAAGACTCACATCCGGCCGGGCGGTGGTGGCGCACGCCTTTAATCCCAGCACTTGGGAGGCAGAGGCAGGCGGATTTCTGAGTTCGAGGTCAGCCTGGTCTACCGAGTGAGTTCCAGGACATCCAGGGCTACACAGAGAAACCCTGTCTCGAAAAAAACAAACAAACAAAAAAGACTCACGTCCACTGGGATAGCGGGGTATGCTCTGCCCTATCCTGTTGGGCATCCTTCAGTAAGAGGATGAGAGCTGAGTAAGAGCAAGAATAAATAAAGTAAGTAAGTAAATAGGTAAGCAAGCTGGTAAGAACTGAGAGGGGGGTCCTTGGGGAGACGCCTGGGGCTGCACATCTCCCTCTGACCAGCAGGTGTCGCCCTATCACCAGCTGGACTGTTTTCCAAACGCAAAGCCTTCACTCTGTTGGCTCCAGTATGGAATAAAGAGTGTGGATGCCAAGCTCGGTGACTTTTCTGAATCTAGCCACTCGGTTCAAGGCTCAGGCACTGTTCTTGTTCTCAGTACAGACAGCTGTCCCTGCAGGTACAGACTAGGGGCTGTGTGGGTGGCATGCCACTCAGGACACTCCAATTCACACACACACACACACACACACACACACACACACACACGGTCACTGCCAGAGCTTGGCAGTACCTTCACCAATAGCCTCTCCTGGGATCTCTTCAGAGACTCCAATTTTATATGGTACCAAGCCTCTCCTTCTTGGGAGTCCCTTCAACCCTGGGCCTTCTCCTGCAATAGGCTGCACCTTCATCGGTGGCTTTTCTGGACCTCTCTTCAGGAACCCCAGTGCTGTTGCACAGTGCCAAGCCTCAGCTGCTCTCCATGATCCCTCCATGCCTTCAAAACCTATGACTCGTGGGATACGCGTACACATTACAACGTTTGGCCGCCAACCCAACGTAGAGACGTAGACCTTTGGTCCCTCCTGGACAGCAGGTTCTGGATGCTGACCCAGAAGATTTCATCTCAATGATGCCGGTCTCACCTAAATTACAGCTGATTTCTTCAGCCCCAGCTGACCAGAGTTAATTGTGCCAGCAAAGCAAAGGTTTCAAATAGTCATTTGTTTTGAGACAGAGTCTCACTATGTAGCCCTGGCTATTCTGGAACTCACAGAGATCCCTCTGTGTCTGCCTCCTAAGTGCTGGGATTTAAGGTGTGCGTCAACACACCCAGCATTTCAGCGGTTCTTAATTCAAGATATCCAATAGCCCTGATAGGGTCATTAAGGGATTCGCAAAACTTCCCTCTGAAATGTCACAAGCCAGGTGCCCGTCATTCATCTCTGCAGTACTCTCAGCATCTTCAAGGCTCTCACAGAACAGCCCACTGTGTGCTGAGCATTCTGTGGCTCTCCCAGCCCAAACTTCAGATGCCACCACAATCCTCCCAAAAACACAGACTCAGATTCACCACAGCGGACACAGTGCCAAGTTTTGCCTTAGTTGGGGTTTATATTGTTATAAAACACCATAACTGCTGGGCGGTGGTGGTGCACACCTTTATTCCCAACACTTGAGAGGCAGAGGCAGAAGAATCTCTGTGAGTTTGGAGCCAGCCTGATCTACAAAACAGGTTCCAGGACAGCCAGGGCTAGACAGAGAAACGCTGTCTGGATAAACAAAAAGCAAAACAAAACAAGCACTATAACCAAAAGTGTCTTGGAGAGGAGAACTTTATTTCATCCTACAGCTTTATAGTCCCGTCATCTGAGGAAGTCAGCGTAGGCCTTGGAGGTGCGCCAATACTGGCTTGCTCAGTCTGATTTCTTATAGTGCCCAGGGATGACCCTGCCCAATAAGATGGGGCGTTTTCTCCATTGAAGTTCTCGTCTCCAAAATGAGGCTAGTAGCTTGTGTCACGCTGACATAAACCTAGCCAGTGCACTTAGGAAGTTGGTCTCACGTTAAGCCACACTAAAGAGACAGGCGGAATAATGACCCCTTCGGTGAGATGGTTTCCTTAGCATCCCTGACCCCAGTGCAGTACCGGTGATCCGCCAGGAGGTTTGGCTGAGTTCTGACTCAGAAAGGCCCAGCTTTTCTTCTCTGTGATTTTTGTCCCTCAGGTTCATGTTTCTTCTCAGAGGGGGTCCAGGAAGTACAACACTGCCCCACCCTCAATTGCTTTTCCCTGGTGGGAAGGATCAGCCCAAGACAAGTCCTGATGGCCTAGGGACAGTGTGGTTACATGTGGCTGCAGCCATTACAAAGTACAGAGAGCATAAGCCACTTGCTCAATGACACACTGCTTAGAGGCCATAGAGTCAAGATTTGTTCCTAGGTGGACTTCTGGGACTGAGGAGGGACGGAGGGACCCTCCCTCCCCTCTTTACTGAGGCTCCTTTGATCTTTTCGGTGCCAGAGCAGTAGACTGGGGAGCAAGTGGAGCGCACACAGAAGGGGATGCCGGTGTGGACTAAGGGTTGGAGTTTGGACATCTTTAGTGCACACTTCTGACTGAACTATGGGAATGCTGTTCCTGTGTGACTCTGAGTGAGGCCCTATCCCTCTCTGATAATGAGCCTGGGCTTCATTATCATATAAGTTTGGACTGGATCCACAAGACCTAGGCTGGCCAGGCAAATGGACAGATCGGCTTCCCAGCACCAGGCATGTGCTATCTACATGGCTGAAACTCTGCTGAAGGCAGATTGCAGGAAGTACAGGCATCAGGCCTGGGACTCTGCTGTGTGTGTGTGTGTGTGTGTGTGTGTGTATGTATGTATGTATGTTAGAGAGGTTCTAATATAGTCCAAGCCTCAAACTGTGTAGCCAAGGACAACTTTGGACTTCTGATTCTCCTGTAGTGGGGTCCCATGGAGCTGAGATTTCAGACATGCACCCCCACACCCAGAACTTACAAGATGGGCACTCTACCAAGCTACACCCAGCCAGGACTCTGCTTCTGAGACTAAACTCTAGGATGGCTTGTAGGAGGGAGTCTTTGACCTTTGGTTCTTTTATCCCCTGGTGCCTGGGGGAGCACCTGGCTTGGCATCTCCATAATCCTCCAAGGGATCCATCCTTTCAACTTCTCCTGGCTGATATACAGGTCTTCCCCCAAGGTTACAAGACATAGGAATCCCCCTTCCCTCTGTATTCTGAAGAAGTAAGGGCTACCATGTCTGGGGGAGAGGGGAGGACGTGGGCCCAGACCAGCAGAGAGTTTTCCTGAGCCTCAGGCAAGAATTCAAGTCGCAGCGATGGCACTTCCAAGCTGGAAGACTTTAGATCATTTACGTGACCCCTCTGAACCTCCGCGTCTATCCTTGTGAACGATAATACACTCTTTCTCTCCGGATCGCCGGGCTGCCTGGCTCATACTGGGCACTCAAGGAATGGGGCTCTCAGAATTAAGCTTCAACAGTGGGGGCGGGGTGCAGGACCTGCAGCCAGGCCTATATTTAGTCTACAAAGGGTGGGCCAATCCTGGTGCCCCAGCAGGCGGAGCTGACTCTTGGATGGCCGTCCCCGTATCCCCGCCCTCCCAGTCAGCAGGGTCACCTTGGCTGGAGTGACAGCCCAGGGCTCCCTGAGACCAGAAGAACCTGGTTTCCAGCGGCAGGAACCTGTGCAGTGGCTGGGACCTATGGAGCAGCCTAGCCTACTAGGACCTGGGATAGGTGACACGACCCCACCCCTCCAACCTCTGGGGCAGTACCCCTTCCAGCGCTGGATCTCAGGCTAACGTGGTCTTCTCGCCAAGGTGAACCTGACCTCGGGCGGGGGTCGAGTGGGGAAGGTTGTCAGCCCCGCCCCCCGCCCCAGCCCCGCGCTGATGAGTGTTGGGGCTGCAAATAGCCCAGCGGAATCCGTGACTCACGAAGCTGGAAATACTGTGCCCCCACCTTCCCTCCCTGTTCCGACCGCGGCCGCCAACGGAGCTGCTCTGGGGAGCAGCCTGACACTCTGATTTCAGTAGCTCCTGGGGGTGGGGTGGGGGATGTAAGGAGCGAGGGGACCCCCTCCCCCTAGAACACGCCATGCTTACAACCATCCAGCACCTCACCCTGCAGCGGCCCTACCCCCTGATTCCAATTGGCTGTATCTTCGGATCTGTGTGAGCTTGAGCCAATCACTTAGCTTCTCTGGGCCTCGGAGGCCTCACTCAGGAGAAAGCCGACGTTGTAACCCTTGGCTTGTGACAGCGCAGAACACAGTGCTGGGTGAGTCCAGCTCAGACATTCCTCTTGAACTAAACGAATCCAAAGGGAAGGGCAGGCCGCCTGGAGACTGGGTGTATTAAGCATTTCTGAAGAATAACGCCTGGATTTCTGCCAGTGGCTCGGAGGAGAACAGGCTGCCCCCTCCACGGAACCCCCCCCCCCAAGCTTCCTTCCCCAGCTCAAGCTTCCCTCCCCACCCTCTCTGCCCCTCCTCCCAGGTAGATCTTCAGGTGGGGTCTCCACAAGTCTGTCATAGTGTCCTTTTATTGTGTACAGGTTATAGACTAGACTCCCACGAACCCCTCCCCCTCCCTATTAGGAGGGTCCCAAGACTTCAGGAGCCAGAGGCCCCAGGGACCCCCAACTAAAAGTGAGCTTCCCCTCTTTTGCACCTCATTTTACACGTGGAGACTGAGTCAGAGCCCAGGTTCCCCAGGGTTAAGGCTGACAAAGGTTTTAGCCCTGGATTTGGGGGCCAGAAGGGATCTTGTTTGGGGCTCATCCTGTGGCCACTGTCTGCAGTTAGGGTGAAGCAGGGCACGTGACTCAGGAGAGGTGGAAGGGGGGAAGAGTCTCCCCAGGACCCAGAGGTGAGAGGCTGAGAGAGGGCTGAGGCAGCGCTGGCTTCAGAGACAAACCTGGGCATCCAACTGGCTTAGAGAGGCCACGTCTCCGTTGATGGAAACAGAGACGCTAAGTGTGATTCTAGAATGCTTTGAATTAGGCTCCAACCAGTGGGGATGAGTATTTCAGGGTCAGGACAATGGCGTGTGTATGTGTGTGTACAAGTCCTGGCTCTTCCTCTTCCTTCCACAGAGGACCTTCTCTGCAGAGAGGAGCCTGGGGCTCTGGCCTCACACACCAGCAATTAGAGATAGAAACTTCATTTAATAAATCCTGTCTAGGTACAGGCGTCCTTGCCTGGTACACGTAGCTGTTAGAGGCTCAGGGTGACAGGGAGCCCTGGGTTTGAGGCTTTGAAAGTTACAAGGGAGGTGACAGTCATGGCTATCTCTCTGGCTTCCCTGAGGCAGTCTGCCTAGGCCAGAAGCAGTGCTTGGTGGCCAGCCTTTCATAGTACACTTGCCAGGACCCCTGGTCCCTTGCCCTGAAGAAATGCCATTCATGCACCACTCTGTGTTACAGACTGTTCCTGTCTTGCTCCCCAGGTCGGTACCTCAGCCCCTCTATTGTGAACTAAGAAATAGGGAGGGTCTATCTGGGTGAGGGTAAGTGGGTCCCTGCACTGCCTTGGGTGGAGAGGAGGGCCCTAGTTTGGGGCGGGGGTGACCCACCTGGGGCCAAAGAGTACGTGGAGTGACTGGGGCCTAGGCTGAGATGTTCTCAGGAGCCATTGTCAGGAGTCATGGTGACCTCACCAGCAGGCCAGTGGGGGAGGAGATGGGGGGGAGGCCAGGGGTGGGGAGACCCTCAGATTTTTATCTCCGTCCGGAAGGTCTGCTGGACATGTTCTGTGTGGGGGTGACGCCGCGCCCGGATGGTGAGGCTGCCGTCCTCTCGCAGGGCCGAAGTCACCGATGTAGGGTCCACATCCTCTGGTAGTTGGCACTTGTGAGCAAAGGTGTTCATGACTGTGCCATCAGCTGCCAGCTGGGGGACAGATGACAGGTCAGGAATGGCTGCCCCAGCCCTAGCCCCACCCTCAGTCCTGGTGACACCCAAATCAAGTGTGAGTCTCTTTATCGCTCTCTGTCCTCGGTCACCCCACTGTGTGATGAGGGGTTCAGCTATCAGGTATGAAAGATCTGTCTAGGGGTATTGGGATGGCTAGGAACCAAGGGCTGTGTAGAGGGGTTCAGGGGCATTCTAGGGGTCCCAAGGGATGCTGGGTATTGGGTGGGGCTGGGTGGGGCTCAATAAGGGTTGAGCTTCCACAGTAGTGACTGGAAGTCTGGGACTCTTGAGCCATAGTGGGGAGATGACACAGCTGTACTCTCTGGATCCCCAGGCACCCTGAGTGTCCACCACCAGGGCCACCACCCTCCCCCGCAAGCAGCCCAGCTAGCACATAGTGTCCAGTGGAGTCGGCTGGCTGAGTCACTCTTGGGACGTGGGACTGGCACGTGCAGCCAGTGGCTCAGTCCTCGAACCCCTGGCACAGGTTTCCCAGTGTCCAACCTGCCTTAGGGGAGCTAGCCAGACTTGGGGGTGGCAAGAAGGCATTGGTAAATATTCTGTAAACATCAGCACGGACTTCACAACCGGGGTAGCCGCTGTCTGTGCCGGCCGTGCCTTCTCTGATGAGCTAGGTATCCTGAGCCTCTGAGGAAGGTACAGGAGGTGTAGGGTGGATGTGACTCAGCCTCAGGGCTTTCTGCTCAATCTCGGGCCCAGTATGGAGGTGCCAAGACAGGACCCACAATTTTGATCTGGGATGAAGGCGAGGGAGAGATGTGGTAGGAATGGACCGTGGTGCCCAGGTTGGGTGTGTCACTGCCACCTCCTCTCCGTTGTGTCAGGGAGCTGTCCTTCCTCCACTGTGGTCACTCTCCACCGTGGTCACTCTCCTTGTCTCCTCAGTCCCTCAGGTTTCTCTGTGCCCACATCTCAGGAACCCTCGCCCATCCCTAGAGGGTCCTCAGGTGCCAAGGCATGGTCCCCAAAGACAAGTTCTGTGAACCTTAGGTTGGAGAGGGACCTGTAACAGTCCCTGGTCTGTGAGGCCACCAGGAAAGGGCTACAGTTTGCCTTTTGGGTGAGTACAGACAGGGAAGGAACATAAGTCAGGGTACAAAGTCTAAAAAACAGACAGGTGAAAAGTAGGACCCAGAGAGCAGGCTAGACCAGGCAGAGTGCAGGAGCAAAAGTGGGGACCCTGGGGTGGGCCAGGGGCCAGACTCACCTTCTCAGCCCGCACCTCGATGTGGTTGTTGGAGGTGGTGACAATGATATCTTCAGGGGAGAAGTCTCTCATGTCCACTGTAAACTCGTAGGCATCCCCGAGGGTCTTGATGTTCCCTTGTCCTCCGGGACGGGCTGTGGGTAGGGCTGCTATTTAAGCTGGGCACTGAGCAAGCCTGACCCTCAGGCCCCTAGGGTCTCTGTTCTTCTAGGGAAATGAGTAGCCCTCCCAGACAACAGCCCTTCTCACCCTCATAGCCTACCTCTCCCCTGAGGGATGATGTGAGGTAAGCCTATGTGTGTCTATGCATGCAAGTCCTCCCTCTGGCAATTTGACCTAGACCTGGAAGCTCTGAGGAGCCACCACCCCTCAGTTCCCAGCATCAGCCTCTCAGGGCTCCTGTTAGGACACTGGCCATATGGGACCATTTGAGTCACATCTCACCCCTAAGGGACCCACCTGTATCACAGTCACCTCTGTCTTGGTGGCCACATGTGGCTGTAACCCATGTGGCACCTATTCCTGGCAGGTAGGTGGCCTGGAGCAGATGTCCCCCACCTGTGCCCCTCCCCACCCCTCAGAGCCTCAGCACTTGCCTGGGAAGGCCAGGGGCTCCGAGTGGGGCAGCATGAAACTGCCAAAATCGTCTGAAAACATGCCCAAGGCCTTCTCCATGGGTGGGTCCTGAGCTGGAAGGGCACGGGAGGCCGAAGATGAAGAGGAGGAGGAGGAAGAGGAGGAACGGAAGCTTCTCTCCGCTCTGAAGGCGGAGGAGGTCCGATGGCTCATCCACAGGCAGCAGGGGCCCTGTCCAGGCGGGCAGGGGCTGGGCTGGAGAAATGTGTGGGTGAAGGCCTCCAGGGAAGCGTGCCGGGGCCCCTGACTGCCAGCGCTTTATAAGGCCCAACTGTCCCTGGGCTCGAGGCCAGCCCCTTGTCTGCTGGCTAAATTTAGGCCTCTTCATGGCCCAGAGGGGCCTGGAAATCTTCTTGGGAGAAACGGCGCTGCTGACAGCCCGACACAGGAGGGCTGAGCTCACCGCCTGGCACTCCAAGCCCAGAGCTCCAGCCCCAAGGGCCTCTGTACCTGCCAGAGCAGGGGGTAGATCCTGCCCTGTGCCTGCCCCCAGGACTTTGTGGTTTGCTGATCCCCTCACTAGCCTGGGACCCTACTCTCCTTTCTGTGCCTCTCAGGGCCTGTGCCTCTTGTGTTAGACTCCTGAGGAGAGGGTGTAAACATGCAGGCTCCCTGAGGGACTCCGTGGAGCTCCAGATTCAGCTATCTCTGAGGGAAGGCTGAGAAAGCCCAGGGAGGGGAGATAGAACATTCGGGTGACCCTTGTCAACTGTCACAGGTGATTCTTCACCTCATCTCCACTCTCAGGACCATAAGTGGCAGAATACAAGAGAGCTGGCAGCTGGAGTTGGGGCTGAGGGGGGTGGGGTTGGGGCCAGCTTCAGGGAAAGAGCAGATAATTCTATAACTGTCCTTAAAGGTCTAAGTGGCTGTTGTTGGTAACAGTCCGCTCTACTTCAGGTTCAAAGTTGATGTCTGCCCAGGGTCCTAGTCAGAGGATTTTACATCCAGGTAACGGAGACCACTGATAGGTGCCTTAGCTCTGGCTTCCAGGTGTCTCTGGTCATTGCTGTCTCTTCCCAGCAGAGCCTTGTTTGATCTGCCGCAGCTCAATGAAAGGAGCTTTCAGGCCAGTTTCCAGACCAGGAAATACATCCTCCTTGGAAGGGAATGGCTGGGTCTAAGTACGTTGGAATGACTGGGATTCCATCCAGATGTGGCAGACCCTTGTGCCCAAGAATCTCCTTTCTTTCCATTGACTATGGGTAGAAGCCCAGACTCTGTGAGGCTGGGCAGGAGGCAGAAGCCAGGGGAGGCTCTCTCAGGAGGGGAACCGGCTCTCAGTTCATGAAGCAATTTTGGAGTGCACTCCTCCAAATCTTAACCTTCCCATATAACCACCTCTCTCCCATGGAAACCTCTGTTCGCTCCAGCCCACACAGGGCTCCCTCTGTCCAGAGTCCCCCAGCACCTGGCAGAGTGACAATCTGTGAGTTCTGAGACCTCTCTGTGGTTTCCTCTCATCCCTAACCCCGAGGAGGCTCATTTGTCTCTTCCCATTAACCTGCGAGTTCCTGAAGGTGTGGGGACTGTGCTTCCAGTCTCTGGCTCCAGTCGCATCCCTGGTGGTTTGTGAGGTGAGAACAGGGCAGGGCATGGCCCGGGGCCAGAGTAATGGCCAGAGCTAGAGGGCTTGGTCACCCCCAGACTCCTGCTGGCACTTTAGTCTGTGTTGCCTGTCCCAGCTGAAGTGTGGCTGCCAAGACTTAAGAGACTCACCAGTACTGAAGTGAGACAGAAAGAAGCAGGGGGTCAGGTGGTGGGGGGCCCCCTGGAGAAGCCTGCCAGGGAAACAAGAGCCACCAGCTAAAAGCAGACACGCTGTCATGGTGCTGAGGGCCTGAGTCACTGCTGCTGGGTGTCAGCTCCCTGTACTCCCCCTCGCCCGCCCACTGTTCCCCTCCTTTCCCACACCCCTGAGGAGTCATCCACATAAATATTGAGTGCTGGCTTCAGTGGCCAGGCAGGACCTCAGAAGGTCATCAAGGTCATTCTCCTGACACCAGGCAAGCTTCTCTGTCAGATCACAGAGACGGGAGGAGTTTCAGAGAGGATCTGATCTGGTCCAGAGTTGGGTGTGGTGGGACATGTCTGATACACCGGGAGGATCAGGAGTTCAAGGTCAGCTTTGGCTTCGTAGGAAGCTGGAGGTCATTATTCCTGAGACCCTGTTTGGAAAACACAAAAATGATATCCCTAGATGGACTCTCCAAAGCCCAAGGAACATCACGGGAGAGGGGAGGGGAGGATGGGGAGGGAGGTGTGTGGTGGTGGGTACTGTCACCTGCGTGTATGACGACCTTGCAAGTGTGACCACGTAGCTGTGGCTGTCTTCATGGGGCCTGGGGAAAAGAAAGACCTTTGTATAAGAGCATGTGTGTGTGTGTGTGTGTGTGTGTGTTAGCAGGAAGGAGTGATGGCGTGGGGTGGGGCAACAGAAGGTTACAGCGAGGGGTGAAGGTGACCTCAGTGCATAGAACACAAGTATGAGACTGTCAAAAACAAGAACCTCAGGGGCCAGGGAGATGGCTCAGCAGGGAAGAGCACTGGCTGCTCTTCCAGAGGACCAGGGTTCGATTCCCAGCAACCACATGGTGGCTCACAATGCTTCAGGTCCAGGGGATCCGATGCCCTCTGGACTTCCACAACAAGCACCAGGCACATGTGGTACACAGACTTATAGGCAGGCAAGCATTTTTTACACACAAATGAATATAAATACACACATACATACTTCAAATCAAAATCCAAAAACAGATGATGGTTCAGCCTCTTACATTTGGGACATCTTCCTTTCTGGGCACATTTTTTACAAACACAGGTGTACCCCAAGATTCTGATCTGGGGAGCTGGAGAGATAGCTCAGCATTCTGATTTTGCAGAGGACCTGACTTTGGTTCTCAACACCCACAATAGCGGCTCATAACCACCTATAACTCCAGTTCCGGGGCATGTAACTCCATCTCCTGACTTCTGTGGGCACTACACTCATGCACCCACACATAGGCACACAATTAAAAATAAAATAAGGGGGCTGGAGAGATGGCTCAGTGGTTAAGGACACTGACTGCTCCTCCAAAGGTCCTGAGTTCAATTCCCAACTACCACATGGGCTCACAACCATCTGTAATGGGATCTGATGGCCTCTTCTGCTGTGTCTGAAGACAGGGACTGTTTACTCACATACATAAAATAAATGCATATTTAAAAAAAAGAAATTGCATCAGAAATATATAAGTTTAAAAATAAAAAGATAAACACTTAAACATTTTTATTAGATTTATTCCTTTTTAATTTTTTATGAGTGAGTGTTTTGTCTGCATGTATACTTGGGTACCACATGCATGCTGTGTGCTCATGGAAGCCAGAAGATGATATTGGATCCCCTGGAACTGGAGTTATGGATGGTTGTAAATTATCCATGTGGGGACTGGAAATCGAACAGGGGTCCTCTGCAAGAACAAGTACTCTTAACTGCTGAGCCATCTCTCCAGTCCAAAATAAACTTGGTGATTTAATTATAAATAAATAAATAAATAAATAAATAAATAAAATGCTTCTGATATGGGTTCTGAGGACTAGAAATTCTTTGCCTTCAGCCTGAAGGGCAGTTAGTAATCCGGTTACAGAACACCTCCTGGATGATATTTAGGCCTGGGAGACTTAGGAGAATGAAGGGCAGGCAGGCCAAGACCCTCGGGACAGAAGTGGCTGAGGACCTGAGGGAGGAACGAGTTGGTGGCAGATCTGCTCTGGCCTCAGAGCTGTTCTAGCCTGATGGCTGCCTCTGTGGCTCCGGGAACTTAAGCATAGGAGAAAGACTTTCTTGGGGTAAGGGAATGGCAGGGAGGGTTAGTGCATTTGAGAGGATGTTGCCCTGACAACTCTGTCTCAGCTTCCTGGTGCTCACAGTGGGGTGTGGACATGTGGCCAGCTAATGCCAGCTAGCCACCCAACACCAGAGACATGTTTGGGCTGTCAACAGAACAGCTAACCACCTGTTGACAGGTGGGTAAGGGGAGGGTGGCCCTGGCTGTGCAGAACAACAGGCTCCCACCCCCTCCTACACCGTGGAAAACATACCTGCTCCTATTTTGAAATGACTGGGGTTAGAGGCAGTCTTGAATTTTAACCAGTCACTGGAGGACCATGATGTTCAGAGTGGCAGCTTTGACAGGTGCAGGGGGAGAGGGGAAGTTATCCTTTCCCAAAATTTTCCTCTTCTTCTTCCTCCTCCTCTTCTTCTTTTTTTTTTTTCTTTTTGGTTTTTTGAGACAGGGTTTCTCTGTGTAGCCCTGGCTTTCCTGGAACTTGCTCTGTAGACCAGGCTGGCCTTGAACTCAGAAATCTGCCTGCCTCTGCCTCCCAAGTACTGGGGTTAAAGGCATGCACCACCACTGTCCTCCTCCTCCTCCTCCTCTTCTTCCTCCTCCTCCTCCTTGACACAGGGTCTCATGTAGCCCAGGTTTCACTCCAGTTTGCTCTGTAATGGAAGATGAGCATCAACTTCTAATCCTCCTGCCTCTACCTTCCTAGAACTGGGGCTTTGGGCACGGGCCACCACACTGAACTTACACAGTGTTAGGAACCACGCTCAGGGGTTTACACACGCTGAGGAGGCACTCTGTTAGCCAAGCTGCATCGCCAGCCCCCATATCGTCTAAAAGCGGTGCTGGGCACACACTCTTTATATTGTGGCCATGGCTCTGCTAAAGCCTTGGGAGCTTGGAGATGGGACAGAAGACAGACTGGGCCTGAGCTCAGCCCCTGCTGTGTGACCATCAGTAAGAGACGACTTGTCTCTGAGCTACCAAGTTTCCAGAAAGTGGTGTCATTACGCCAACTCACAAGCATGTGGAGGCTGTACTGAATGGTAGAATAGTGCTTCCAATGATCACACATGCATGTCACACACACACATACACACACGCACACGCACACACACACGAATGCACACACACATAAACATATACATGGACACGCACACATAGGTACATGCATATTTTCATACACATGCACACACGTTTACACACATGCACAAATGCACACATACAAACATACATGCACACACAGATAGGCACACACATATCTACACACATACATACTCATACACATGCACACACATGTTTTACACACACACTTTTCTTTGTCTTCTCCCATGACATTTCCTCACAGGGTTTAGCCAGAG